ACCAAGCCAGTCTTCTGTCTTCCTGTCCTGAACCAAGGGGGCGGTAGGAAGAGTAAATCCCACCCCTACACGGCTCTCGCAAGCACTTCTTACAACTGTATGGCGTTGAGGCCACTCAATCGCATCTTGTAAAGCCGGTCCGCCCAAAGCACCCGCGGTACCCGAAAGTAGTGCAGGCTGCCAGACACGTAGCGGAACGGGACCCCGTCCAGGAGGAACCTGTCGTGATCCCGATCCACTACGAACGACCGAGTGTCCGCCTGCAAAAGGAGACCTGCTCAGCAGTGGCCTGGAGCAAGGGTCGGGTCTGCAGAAAGGCTGGAACTAGCCGGCCAGTGGTTTGTGTTGTCGCTTTGACTCTCCCTCATCCGAAGGATCTGAACCCGCCCTGCCTTACCCGGCCGGCTGATGCAACCCTCTCATCTTACCTGGGACAGCAATAGCGTCAGGAGCGGCAGCAGCAGGGAGAGAAGGCCAGGAGGCTTCTTGGGAGCCATAGCTCTTAGAGGGCTCCTCTAGTCTGGGACAGCGGTCGACGGTCACGTGTCGGAGTCCTGGGAGGGAACCTCAGCGAGCAAGGGGGCGGAGACCACCTCAAGTTGCCAGGCGCTTAGCCTGGACTTTGTCTCTAGTGGGAGCTACTACTAGTTTGTCAAATCCTCTACATCTTGCTATGTAAAGTGAACTGGCTTCATCAGCATCACCTGGGAGCTTGCTAGAAATACAGACTCTCAGGTCCTATCTTAGATCAGACCTACAAAATCATGTCGTATCTTAACAAGATTCTCTCCTAGACTGAGGCTCCCGTCCATCTGGGATCCTCAGCTTCCCGGACACACCCTGGCACACAGATTAAATCGGCTGAAGGAATGTCAGAATCAAAAAGCTAAAACAGGTTTGGAACTAAGGGAAACCTTCATGGTGACCAGGGAGGAACCAGGTTATAAGACAGACCTTCCTAGAGAGCCCTGTTTCAGCAAAAGAGCCCACCCTGGCCACTC